AGTTTGGGGGGGAGGGGGTGCTGGGGGTGTCAGGGTAGTGGGGAGAAGTGCAGGGGGTGTCAAGGAAGTGGGAGAGAGGTGCTGTATCCATGGCACAGTCAGCTGTCAGTGTGCAGACCTCCAGGGACCCACCCATTAGGGTTGCCACCTGTCTGGGATTGACCAGGACAGTCTGGGTATAGAAGGCTGTGTCCGGGTTATATAGTCCACCTGAGAGCCTGCATAGTTCACCTGACAGCGTGCACATCCCTAGTGAGAGCCACACAGGCCACTTGAGACCCTAGAGGCATCAGGCTGTCACCCCAGAGCAACACAGAGTATGTAGCTTCATATAATAGCCTAGGGTTAGGTTATAAAAAAAATTGAAACTTTGAACATACCTCAGAACACCATTAAATCCGTTATAACAAATGGAAAGAATATGGCACCACTACAAACCTGACAAAAGAAGTCCTCCTGCCAAAACTCGCAGACCTAGTGAGAAGATGCAACAAAAACCCCAAAGATAGCAGCAGCGGATACAAGAGTATCTGTCGATAGGACTACTTTAAGCCGTACACTCCACAGAGTGGGGCTCTATAGAAGAGTGGCCAGAAAATAAGTCATTTCTAAAAGAAAAAACTTAGAATACAGGTTTGGAGTTCAACAAACAGGATTTGACAGACTACCCCCAAACATTAGGAAGAAGGTTCTCTGATCAGATGAGACTAAAACTGAGCGTTTTGGCCATCATGGGAAATGCTATGTCTGGTGCAAACCCAACAATTTCATTCACCCTGTGAACATTACCCCTACTGTGAGCCATGGTGGTGGCAGCATCATGCTGTGGGGATGCTTTTCATCGGTAGGGACTGGAAAATAGGTCAGGATTAAAGGAAAAATGGATGGCATGAAATACAGGGAAATTCTTGAAGAAAACCTCTTTCAGTCTGCCACAGATTTTAGACTTGGACAGAGGTTCACCCTCCAACAGGACAATGAACCTAAGCATACTGCTAAAGCTACACTGGAGTGGTTTAAAGGTAAACATGTAAATGTCTTGGCCTAGTCAAAGCCAAGTTGAGAACCTGTGGCATGCCTTGAAGATTGCTGTACCCCAATGCAACCCATGTAACTTGATGGAGCTGAAGCAGTTTTGACTTGAAGAATGGGTTCAATCCCAGTGGCTAGATTTGCTGAGATAATAGAGATGTACCCCAAGAAAATATAATTGCAGCAAATGGTGTCTCTACAAAAAATGTGGAGAGGCGGGGAGGGGGGGGGGGTGAATACTTCTGCACACAATTTCTGGTATATATTGTTTGTGTCACAATAAAACATATTTTGCACCTACAAAGTGTTAGGCATGTTGTGTACATCACGTGGTACAAACCCCCCGAGATCGATTTTAATTTTTTAAACAGGAAAAACACCAAAGGGGTGAATACTTTCGCAAGGCAATATATATTGCCATCTGCATGATCCGGATTGGTTGAATCTTTCAAACAAATTCATGGCGAAGGCCTTACTAATTAACAATTGAGAGGATAATACTGCTGGTAGAAAGCAACAGTTAAAATGTATCTAAACCTAATATTTTTTTTTTTATAAAGCTTCTAATCAGTCCCCAGATGTGGTGTCTGCATTAGTTCTTCTTTATTTCTTACCTTGAGATTCTGCCAGTAACCCACTTAGTTTAGACATACACAACTAGATGAAATCGATTCACTGATCCATGCTAAACAGGGTGGATGGAGGAATCTCGCTGGTGGCTTTTGCCAGCTGTACTGTCCTACGGTGACAACACTCACTCCACTGTGTCTATGGTGGAGCAGTATTGTCACCCTAGGCTGCTCTCCTGACTACAAACGTGTCCGCCTTTTTTCATCTCCATTACTTTGTGTGATATGTAGATTACAGAGGACATCATGGGAGGAAGATAACATTGTTTTGAGATTTCAGGAACAAACAACACTGCACAAGATCAACAGTTATCCTGAATAATAATAATAATATTACAATAATATTCTGTACTTGCAGAAAATGTACTTAGCCTGAAAAAGGAAAACTGGTATGCTGCAAAACATTCAAATGTTGTTCTTGGGTTTAGATATACATTAAAGTGTATGCATAGCGTAAGCTACAGCAGAAAAGCATTAGAACCCCTATTATGTTTTATTGTGGTCTGTATCCCTGCTGTAGAGAATTATCATCTCTGTTTGTCTAGGAGAACATTGTTACTGGGACAGAATGTGACGGGATATCCAAAATGTTACTGTTGTCACCGGAACTAGAGTTGAGGGCAAATCTTCCAATGGTGACACTTGTTGTTGGGACAACTTCCTACTCTATCCAAAACAAAAACAGAAAAAGATTTTGCTATACATATAGTTTTGTAAAAGATACAGTACATACAGTGTCTCTAAGACTGACCAGATATCAGCCAACAGGAGTCAGAAGCAGTGCCAAGTACATTTAAGCTGAATTCCGGGCAGAAAAACTCTCATTTAAATATATTCATCAAGAGCCACAAAGGATATAAATCCACTCTGTGTGCACAAAATGCTTTTGCAAACCCAGAATTTAAATTATGAAGGTAGCAATGACATCATCACTGTGCTGTACATAGCCTGTGCAGAGAGCAGAGCTGTGAGGGGGACCCAGCTGGCCCCACCCACTACAGGCTGTCTGCAGAAAACTACAGGAGGGGGCGGATACAAGACCAGTCACCCTGCACAGGGAAAAATAACAAAAGTGATCGGTCTTTATTACTGGAAGTTCCTGCACAAAGGAAACATTTCACACTGCATTGTTGCACCAATATGTTAGAAATACACAAAGTACGGCCTCGGACAGGACTGTGTGCAGCTGTCTAAACTCAGAGCTGCGTAAGGCAGCGTGTGAGGGCGCACAGCTCCTGCGTATACATAGAGTTAAATGAGCTCACCACACGCTTCTTCCTGCAGCTCCAGGCACATCAACAACTGGCCCTTTAACACGCCCCGGTGAATGAGATCTAATAGAGTCAACTGTGACATGCCCCACCTCCTGTCAGGTCTTTACTCACCTCTCACACTGTCTACAGACCAACCAGTTAAAACCTAGTACCAAAATGCCTGCAACTGTGCACTAAATTCACATAGACATGAATGAGACGTTGGTTCTGCAATACAGGTATGTTCCATGTAAGTCTATAGCTGGCCATACACTATACAAACTGATTGTACAGTTACTGTATAATCTTGTTTAATGTTACCAAAGCTAGGTACTATGAGGACAAACCTAAATAATCCATGTAATATGTATCCAATCAGGCAGACCCTTACACTGCATTGTTGATGATCGATCTAAAGGAAATTGTACAATCAGATTGTACAATTCTTTCTTTTATGGCATCCTGGGGTGCTTTCAGGCATTGTCAGAGATGCCTTCAAATTTTTGCTAGAAAAAGTTAATAAAAGGTGAGACTCTCATGTGAAGAGGGGGCTTGAGATGGTACAGGGAGGGGGACACTGATGTGAAAAGAGGGGGGCTCTAGGTAATCTTTTTAATTTATTTGCCTGGGGTCTCCATTTCTAGGCAGCCCTGTCTAAAATAAGGATTTGGCATTGGTAATGCGGGGGCCACACATCTTTTTTTTTAACCTTTTTACATTCAAATTTTTATTGGCGCCATGACTGAAATGAGGCTGAGAAACACTAATATAATGCATGGTTAGCCCAAAGGATGTAGTCCCAGGACTAGATTTTTACAAGCTGGTCTGGAGGTCAAAATCAAGAACTTGTCCTTTAAACATGCCCCACCCTATTCAAATCTACAGTAAAAAGATTTGGTTTAGATACTGTATACTTTAATGCTCTGTGTTGCAATCTTGTATGAAGCAAAGTGCAATCAAAACATATGAATACCGAGACTTTGTTTGACCAACATAACTTTTTCCATTCTTCTTTATTGCAGTCAGATAACAATCAGTCAGGAAGTCACTTCCCCCTCGAATAACTTTAGAACAATATAAATCTGGCCGATAATTGGTCTATGTGCAGGGAACTTTACTTATCAATTCCATCTTCCTAGATTACAGGTGCACTGATAATAAAACTGCATCTGGCATTACAGAAATACATAGCATTGTACATTCCAGCTTCAACATTCCACAAGACATGGCGGGGAATTCATGAAAACTGGAGCAGACAAAATCTGGAGCAGTTGCCCAGGGCAACCAATTAGCTTCTGACTTTTATTTACAAAGCGTTAACTGAGCAAACTGAAGAGAGAAGCTGGTTGGTTACCATGAGCAACTGCTCCAGATTCTGTCTGCTCCAGTTTTAATAGGTTCCCCACAGTGCAAATTGAACACAAACCTTACAGTTGACATTCAATACAATACATTGGGGGATTTTGCGAAAACTTGAGCAGACAAAATCTGGAGCAGTCTCGCCCATGGCAACCAATCAGCGTCTGTCTTTCATTTTTAAAGCTTAGCTGCACAAACTGAAGATAGAAGCTGATTGGTTACTATGAGCAACTGCTCCAGTTTTGATCAATTCCCCACAAAGCAACTTGAACATAAACAACATTCAATACTATGTATATATATATATATACACACACACACACATGTTTATGTGCTTCAGCTATCTATGGGTAAGTCTTTATGGTTTACTGAGAAAACGCTGCAGATTTGAATGAAGGGGTTAATGAGAATCTCACGCAGGAGGTTGCCATGGTAATGTTAGCATTAATACACTGCTATTGCCGCTTTCACTCATCTTCCCAAGGCACAGAGAACCTATTTGGCTAAATGCAGCAGACTGCTGTACCATTACAGGTGAGAACCTCCTGTGGATATATATTTTTGACGTTCCTGTAGTGCGATTAGCGCTTTGTTGCTGTGAGCGGTTTTGTTTTTGCAGGCGTAATGGAAATTGCGGTCTCTCGGCTAAAAAAGATGGGATTCCTATGGGTGGTCTGCGCATGTGGGGAGGGGAAGTCCCTTAACCCTCAGTGTACCGATTACTCACAGAGCTCGTAGTTTGACCCACATCTTCTTGTTTGGAACCGATTTGAGCTCGAAGGGAGATGTGCATCCCTCTAGCAGATCTTTGTCTACGCTGGGGGACTCCATAATGCCTGTAAACAAAACAAAAAAACAGGTTGGTTTACATGTGTGTGATATCGATTAGGTCTAGTGGAAACTTCAATGGAAAGCGTAGCGTAAGGTTTAATGAATCTCTGGCTCAGCTATGACAGTATGGATTTTATCAGTAATGGTCTGCGCATGGTATCTGTTCAGCTGAGGCCGCGCTTCCACTTAACAGACATTAAATACATTTGACGGACACAGGGAATCAGGAACGGTGCACGCTTTCTATAGGCACCTCCATGGCACACAGCCATGCACAATACACTACAGGCAACACAGAGACTACAACATACCATAGGTAGCAGGATCAGTCTCTAACTGTCAGGACTGCACCAGCATGGAAGGGGTTCATGCAAATTATCTTTCCTCTCACATTTTTTGTGGTCGCCCCTCTGTCCTTCAGGGAAATCAGTCCATTCTCCTTGCGCCGTGATGTATAAATGTGGGCAGCGGGGGGAGGATGGGGGGTGGACTAATAACAGCGGCAATGGCATGAAGCAGGACGCCTGCCCCTTCTGCAGAGGGATCTGTACGCGTGTAAGTGAGCGAGATGGAGAGTGTTATACCTCTAA